TTTTTTGGCAGAACCGGGGATTGAACTCAGGCCCTTGCGCTTGCCAGGGAAGCACTTATTCCACTGAACCATCTCCCATCTCCCCAGCCCCCTATTGTATTGTTTTCTATTGGTGCTGTGGCAAAATATCACACAGAAGCTTAATGCAAAAAAAAAGTACTGCTTTCCAGTCCTGGAAGTCACAAGCCTGCAAAGCTGAGCTGCTTCTAGGGAAGAACACTCCAGATTTGTTTCCCTTCTCCAGTTTCTGGAAGTCGCTGCGGTCGTTGGTTCACAGCTTTCTTCATGTACAAAGGAAGCAGACTGGCACTGCCCCTTCTCACCTCCCACCTCCCTTTTACAAAGATGCTGGCCATGACACTGGGCCCACCCAGACAACCCAGGATAATCTGCTCCCCAGGGAGCACTCCTGCAGTCACACCTGCAGACTCCTTTTGGCCACAGAAAATGTAACACACTCACAGGTTCCCAGTACAGGTTCACGTCATCTTGACAGGCGTTACTCTACATTACAATGTGACAGGCAATTATTATAAAAACTAAAGCAAGCACAGCGTAGCTACATAAGACATTTGTATGGCTGAAGGTCTCCAGGAAGAAAAACTGCAAGCTGATCACTATCTGGCCTCAGGTCCCTGACAGTTACAGGCCTGTTCTGGAGAAGTTAGGGAACAAAGCTAGGACGAGGGCTTTACACTGTTCAGGTTTCTGGCAAGGCTGGAATGGCAGCAAATGTGAATTTTCTACTGAAAGCTCTCCAAGAAGAGCCCACAGCACAGCCCAGGTCATGGGGCTGCTGCAAGCCATCAGAATCAACCAAGTGGAGGTCAGGACGTGGGCCAGGCTCTGCGGGCACTTTCCTTTCTCCACGTGAAGACGCTGCAGTGGCAGTGGTGAGCTGTGTGAGGGCGCTCTTGTCACACTGCTCCAGTCTGAACCAGTTCCCTTCCAGGGAGTACACAAAGTAACACAAATCTCCAAAAGAACTGTCACTTCCCCATGAGCCCATCCTGCAGCACTTCCTTCAAGAAACAATACCCAGGAAGGAAATGTGACCTCGCATGGCTGAGCGTACCTTTACTCTACCCTCCCACTCGGCTGATGGCGTGGCTATGTGGTCCTGGGTTGGAAATTATTTTAAGAGTTCTGATGGACCTTTCCACGCTCTTCATTCTAGCTTCCGGAGTTGCCTTTGCGAAGTCCAAGGACAGAGACTGTTGGTCCTGTATGAGGAAGTCCTCCCAGGTCCCAGATGCTGGTATGTGGGTATCTATTTTGCTTGGTACCCCATGATTTTAGGACTAAATCATCAGAAAAAGAGGAAGAACATTAAAACACAGCAATAAGGGATTGGAGCATCAAGGAGAAAGGGAAAAGAACAGAAGCAAAAGGGAAAGAACTTCCACCCAAAGTTACATAAACCGGTTTTCTCAAGCCTTGCTGGCTCCGCCTTCAGATGTAACATACTGTAGCTATTTATGAAGAAGGACACGTTTTGATTGATGGGACAAACGTACAACTATGTTCAGTCTAAAGAATCAGAACTATCTGGCTTCGTAATTTGTCATTTCCAGAGCTGATCTATGGAAAGCCTGCCCCTAACATACCGAAGTCACCTACACCAAGGGAATAGGCAATCTCTGCGAAGTCCCTGTTACTAGGGATCCCTGGTGATCCAACCAAGTCAAGAGGCCTCTGAAGGAATCTCACTGGAGAACCAGAGCTTGGCAAAAGGTGGAGATTTCTGAAGTCCGACCTCAGAGTCAGGGAAGAGCTAGAGAAGATAAGCCTTGGGCTGAGCAGAAGGTGTAGCAAGCTGGACCAGACAGTAGTGGAGAGAATCTTGCCAAGAAGCAGTAATGCAGCTTAATGAAATAGTAAACTGGGCATAACAGCACACACCCTTAATCCCAGCTACTCAGGAGGCTGAGGCAGGACAACTGTCAGTTCAAGCCCAGCCTGGTAAGTGAGGAAGATCCTATATCTAAAACTAAAACACTTAACAAAAAACAGTAACAATGCACGATTCCATTCCAGAAGGGAAGAACTGGAGGACACAAAGGCAGGGTTGGAACAAACAAGACTTGAATTCATCAGGGCAAACATTAAATCTTATGGCTACACACCCAGCATCTGAGCAACCTGGTGGTGTGATCCGAGCCCTCTGGGGCGTGGCGGGCGGCCCCAACCCTAAGGCCTTGCTGGCTGCAGCCAACACATCCACTCAGCTACAAGATATGGTCCAGGAGCTCAAATCCACTCTCCCCATAACGTGTGCATTAATTCTGTAACACATGTGGTATTAGTCCAAAGTTACACTGACAGCCTGATGGTTTTATAGCTATAAAAATACCACCAAGCTGATAGTCTTTATTTCAGAGACACACAGATACAACTCATGTAAGACGTGATACGTTGCGGTTTCTAAACATTTCCCACTGCCGTCTGTGAGAGGCTGCTGTCCTCGTGGTTCAGGGCCAGTGCGAATGGCTGTGCTTGCAGGAGCCCAGCTTTTCCTCTTCTGTCCCAGTCTTTTCAGAAGTCCTGCCGGATGTTTTCTTTGTTTGCCTCTCCCTGCTGCTGCCTAATTTGATAGATTTCATTCTCTAGTTGCACAATGGTCCGTTCAATCTCATAATTCTTACTGACCAGGGATACCCAACTAGAAAAGAAAAGAAAAAAAAAAAGGAAAACCATGTAAAATCTCTCTTATAAGATTTTATTTTATTTTAAATATACGCTTTTACTCAAGGCCATAACAGTTTTAACTTTCCACTTTAAAATCTTAGGCATAGCCAGGGATGGTGATGTATGCCTGTAATCCCAGCACTCAGGAGGCTGAGGCAGGAGGATCACTACAAGGTTGCTGTGGGCTACATGGTGTATTCAAGGCCAACCTGCACTACAAAGCAAGAACCTGTCTCAGAAAACCAACCAACCAAACCAAACCAAACCAAACCAAACCAAAACCTTTGGCACAACTATGGGAAAGTAGATGAAGGATACAGGTTCTGTTTATTTTATTTAGTTATTTTGCACCCAGGATTCAAACTCAGGACCTTGCGCTTGCCAAGCAGGCACTGTGCCGCTGAGTTATCTCCCTGGCCCCATCTCTGTATTATTTGTTATAGCTGCATGTGAATCTATAGTTGTCTCAAAATAAGTTTAGTTAAAAATCAGTAGAAACATCAGAAGAGTGAATCTGTAAGACAGAAGAGGTAGAAAAGAGAGCATTAAGAGAAAAGAGAAAACAAGGCAAAGCCAACTGTTACAGAAAACTGGAGACGAATCTTCAGATGGACGAAAAAGCAAAACCAGTGGGAAGAAGGATGCGAAACGATGCCCAAGAGATGGACAACACAGGGACATGGAGCAGAGCGGAGGCATGCAGAGAACGGGACGGGTGGTGGAGGGTGGAAGGGAAAACAGCGAGAAGAGAAGCAACATAAAATTCCACTCTCACATATTTCATATTTAAGCATTTGCATAGATCATGTACATACAGGAGTTTTAATGAAGGACAAAAAAAAACTAAAACATAAATTATCAAGCAAAACATGGAATTTCTGTTCCTATAAGCCTTTAAAAAAAGAATGAATTTCTTTCCTTTTAAAAATAGGTCTAGAGGGGCCAGGGATTTAGCTCAGTGGCATAAGAGCCTGCCTAGCAAGTGCAAGGTCCTGAGTTCTATCCCTCCTGCCACACACACACAAAAATAGGGCTAGAGGTGGGTGCAGGGATGTATGCCTATAACCCCAGCTAGCCAGGAGACTGAGCCAGGAGGGTGACAGGTTCTGAGGCAGCTTAGTGAGAACCCATCTCAAAATAAGAAATAAAAGTTCTGCAGGGATCCCCAGGCCTGCTGTGCCAGCCCTGCCCCTGGGGCATGCTGAGATGGCAATTGAGACTGGGCATGGTGGCATGCACCTGTAATCCCTACTCTTGGGAGGCTGTAAACAGGCAGATCACTACGAGTCCCATCTAGTACTGAGAACCTGAACAGCCTGTAGACCTTTCCCTAAAAAGATTTAAAAAAAAAAAAAAAAAGAAAAGAAAAAAAGCAAGCAAGCAAGCAAAGTTCTGATGACGTAGCTCAGTGGCAAAGTGCTTGCCTATGTACCAGGCCTGGGGTTAATCCTGAGAACCCCACAGGAGGGCTGGGATTGAGCCCAGGACCTGCTCACCATGTGTGAGGCCCCGGTTCACTCCCTAGTACTGGCAATAAAAAACCCAATCCAACCCAACCCAACCCAACCCAACCCAACCCAACCCCAAAAGGGTGAACTCTTATTAAGAGCCAGAGAGCTGGACTAAAAAAAGAGGGGTGCCCTGAGGCCAAGATCACTCAGCAGTGGGTCAATTCTTTCCCTTTTCCTGCTTTTTGAGACAAAATTCTGCGGGTGTAGTGGTGCATGCCTGTAATCTTAACACTCAGGAGGCTGAAGCAGGAGGATCCCTGTAAATTTGAGGCCAATCTGGGCTATATAGTGAATTCAAGGCTAGCCTGAACCACATAGGAAGACCCTGTCTCAAAAAATAAAAAATTTTAAAAAACAAACAAAACAAAACAAAATTCCACCAGAATTTTGTTACGTATTTCAAGCTAGCCTTGAATTCACTATACAGCCAAGGTTGGCCCAAACTCGGGAATCCTCCTGCCTCTGCCACCACTCCCAGCTTTAATTCTAATTTATGCTTCTCTAACTGCTTTCTATGTCTACATTTTAGAAAACAGCATTCTGAAGCCAGGCTTGGTGATGAAAGCCCGTAATCTCTATTAAAACTGGACCACTAAATCTACTAGAAGAGAAAGTAGGTGGAACACCAGCTCTCGCCGGAGCCCTAGGAAGGAAGCGTCTCAGGCGCACTCGGCCGCAGTGCGGGACCCTGAGGAAAAGCTACACCAGGCGCGCCGCCATGGGCAAGCAAGACCCCAAGCCTCGTCATACGCCTTCTTCGTGCAGAGCTGCCACGAGGAGCACAAGAAGCAGCACCCCGACTCCTCGGCCAACTTCGCCAAGTTCTCCAAGAAGTGCTCGGAGAGATGGAAGACCGTGTCTGCCAAGGAAAAGTCGAAGTTTGAAGATATGGCGAAGAGTGACAAAGCTCACTATGAGAGGGAGACGACAAATTCCGTTCTTCTCAAAGCTGGTGATAAGAGAGGAAAGAAAGCTCTAAATGCTCCTAAAGGACCACCACGTGCCTTTTTCCTGTTTTGCTCTGAACATCAGCCAAAGATCAAAAGTGAACACCCAGGCCTGTCCATTGGAGATACTGCAAAAAAGATTGGGTGCAATGTGGCCTGAGCAGTCAGCCAAAGATAAGCAATCCTATGAACAAGAAGCAGCGAAGCTGAAGGAGCAATACGAAAAGGATATTGCTGCAATGCGTGCCAAGGGCAAAAGCGAAGCAGGAAAGCAGGGCCTGGGAGGCCAACAGGCT